TGACTGTGTGTGTGTCAGTGTGCGTGTCGTGTGACTGTGTGTGTGACTGTGTGTGTTAGTGTGTGTGTGACTGTGAGTGTGTGTCAGTGTGTGTGTCGTGTGACTGTGAGTGTGTGTCAGTGTGCGTGTCGTGTGACTGTATGTGTGACTGTGTGTGTGAGTGACTATGTGTGTGTCAGTGTTCGTGTCGTGTGACTGTGAGTGTGTGACAGTGTGTCAGTGTGCGTGTTGTGTGACTGTGTGTGTGTCAGTGTGTGTCAGTGTGTGTCAGTGTGCGTGTGGTGTGACTGTGTGTGTGTGTGACTGTGTGTGTGTGACTGTGTGTGTGTGTGTGACTGTGTGTGTGACTGTGTGTGTGTGTGACTGTGTGTGTGTGACTGTGTGTGTGTGTGACTGTGTGTGTGTGACTGTGTGTGTGACTGTGTGTGTGTGTGACTGTGTGTGTGTGTGACTGTGTGGTTGTGTGTGTCACTGTGTGTGTAACTGTGTGCGTGTCGTGTGACTGTGTGTGTGTGTGTCAGTGTGTGTCGTGTGACTGTATGTGTGTGACTGTGTGTGTGTGTGTCGTGTGATTGTGAATGTGTGACTGTGTGTGTGTCAGTGTGCGTGTCGTGTGACTGTGTGTGTGACTGTGTGTGCGTCGTGTGACTGTGAGTGTGTGACTGTGTGTGTGTCAGTGTGTGTGTCGTGTGACTGTGTGTGTGTCAGTGTGCGTGTCGTGTGACTGTGTGTGTGACTGTGTGTGTTAGTGTGTGTGTGACTGTGAGTGTGTGTCAGTGTGTGTGTCGTGTGACTGTGAGTGTGTGTCAGTGTGCGTGTCGTGTGACTGTATGTGTGACTGTGTGTGTGAGTGACTATGTGTGTGTCAGTGTGCGTGTCGTGTGACTGTGAGTGTGTGACAGTGTGTCAGTGTGCGTGTTGTGTGACTGTGTGTGTGTCAGTGTGTGTCAGTGTGTGTCAGTGTGCGTGTGGTGTGACTGTGTGTGTGTGACTGTGTGTGTGTGTCAGTGTGTGTGACTGTGTGTGTGTAAGTGTTTGCGTGTCAGTGTGTGTGTCGTGTGACTGTGAGTGTGTGTGACTCTGTGTGTGTGTGTGTCAGTATGCGTGTGACTGTGAGTGTGTGACTGTGTGTGTGCGTTAGTGTGTGTGTGACTGTGAGTGTGTGACTGTGTGTGTGTGAGACTGTCAGTGTGTGTGTCAGTGTTTGTGTGTCAGTGTGTGTGTCGTGTGACTGTGTGTGTGTGTCAGTGTGCGTGTCGTGTGACTGTGAGTGTGTGACTGTGAGTGTGTGACTGTGAGTGTGTTAGTGTGTGTGTGTGTGACTGTGTGTGTGTGTCAGTGTGAGTGTCGTGTCACTGTGAGTGTGTGACTGTGAGTGTGTGACTGTGAGTGTGTTAGTGTGTGTGTGACTGTGTGTGTGTGTCAGTGTGCTTGTCGTGTGACTGTGAGTGTGTGACTGTGTGTTTGTGTGTCAGGACAGCGTCGCCAACCGGGGAGACAAAGGCGGCCGGGCCGTGCTTGATGGGGTTTTTAGCCGGCCACAAACCACGGGCAACCACCGTCGCTGTTCTCGCTCGCGGCACTTGCCCCCAACACCGGCGCGTTAAGCCTACACGGGGGATCTTTGCCTTTTGTGTGTGTGCGTGGTGAGTTGTGGGGAGCGGTGGTGCAGCGGTGAGCGCCGCGCTGCGCTATGAACCTGGCCACGGTGGTGTTCGATTCCCGCTCACGGCCAACACCACCAGGTAACGATTATCTGAACCGGTCCTGGGCCTCCCCTAGGTCGACTCAGCCTCAAATGAGTACCTGGTGCGGTGTGTAGTAAACATCGCCACTGGGGGAGAGACAAAGGCGGCCGGGCGTGGTGCTGGCCACCCACCCCCTCGTGTGCCGTGCCGGCCTTCATAGGCGCTGCTCGCTAACAGCACTTGCCCCTACAGTCTGTTACAGGCTACACGGGGGATCTTTGGTAGTGGTTCGTGGTGGTGGTGGTTGTGGTGGTTGTGGTTGTAGCAGGCATCGTCAGGGTCGGGATCCAACCCACGACCTCATGCGTACCAGGCGAGGTAGTTAACATCTCCTAGCCACCGCTTGAGTCCAATACCGCGCGCAAGTGAGCCCATTCTACTAATTTTATGATCGAGTGTTATGCACCGCGCAACAATCAGGAACGGCTTTCAGCCTCATTCTTGTCCGATAATTGATCCAACGTAAGTGAACTCGGCAATTTAGAGGATACGGTCTAGGAGCATGAAGAGCGAGAGAGAGATATATACAGAGACACAAACGGGGAGAGAGAGAGATGGAGGTCAGGATGATAATATTTATTTATACTGGAGGGGAAATCCGATGAGCTATGAAGCTCTTTCCTTTACAGTTTTCCAGTAAGTGCGACGGGCATCAGAAGGTACCAACGATACAAAAAAATAACACACACACACCGATATGACTGAAACGTATATGAAGATACACAAATGAAAACTAAACTACAAGCTTCTTCGGTTCTTTCGGTAAAGTCACGTAGAATGAGAGTAAAATAATAAATTGATAAAATAAAATAACACGATAAAATTCTCACGACGTTTCGGCCACAACCCAAGCGGCCTTCATCAGGTGAAGGGACGAGACTGTCTGGAGGACAGCGCTGATGAAGGCCGCTTGTGTTGTGGCCGAAACGTCGTGAGAATTGTATTGTGTTATTTTATTTTATCAATTTATTATTTTATTCTCATTCTACGTGGTGGTGACTTTACCGAAAGAACCAAAGAAGATGAATCCTTGCAGTCACGAAAGCTTTAAATCGAAACTAAACTACATTGTTTTTATTTGACTAGGTAGAGTCCACTGAGCTCTCCGCTGATGTTTTTCAGCATCGACTCGGCCACAATTGGACGGAGGCTCATCGCGTGGACATTTCTAGCAGTCAAAACAATCGAAATAATCTACACGCATTAAGCGGGCTTTTACCTGGTTTAAAAAAAAATTTAAAGGTTTTAATTGTATCCGTATTTAGTTTTTTTGTTTGTTTTTAAAGTGATTTACTTAACCATTGAGGCCACGTGAAGCGTCGAAGGCTCCCTGCTGACAGGAGGTCACGAGATAGACCCAGCGGATACCGTGGGTTGACCGACCGAGATGACGACTCGCAGATGCCTCCAGCCATAACCCAAAACACCACCACCACCATCACCACGTGCGATCAATCCACTGCTGGATGAACGAATTCGTCTTGTTATCCCTGTAACCTGATCGATGGTGGGGATGGTAGTGGCGGTGGTGCAGCGGTTAGCGCTAAGAACCTGGCGACGCGGATTCTATTCCCGCTGAACCGGTTCCTGGGCCTCCCCTAGGTCGGCTCAGCCTCAAATGAGTACCTGGTGCGTTGTGTAAAACATCGTCACTGGGGAGACAAAGGCGGCCGGTCGTGGTGCTGGCCACCCACCCCCTCGTGTGCCACAGTGCCGGTAGCCTTCATAGATGCTGCTGCTCGCTAGAAGCACTTGCCCCAACAGTCTGTTAGAGGCTACACGGGGGGTCTTTGTCTTTGGTGGTGGTGGTGGTGGTGGTTGTTGAAGGTTTAAATTCCCCATCTCTCCAGCTCCGCTTTGGGAATTCTATCAGTGGGTCGAATCTCTCGCCCTGCCATTCCGAGAATGTCCTAACCGTCCCATTAGCAGGAGACGGACCCGAAATTGGGTCGCGCATGATTCTATAAACCTCCTCCTCCTCCTCATCTGCAGAACTCTGATGATGATGATGCTTCTTTCGTAGTCTGATCTAAACTGGAAGGTGCAGCTGAGCAACAACCCGTAGGGGAAGCTGGGACGCCGCTTTGGCTAGGAGATGTTGACTACCTCGCCCGGTACACACGAGGTCGTGGGTTCCATCTCGACTCTGTTGATGCCTGCTGCTGCTGTATATTTTGAGACTGCGTCTTTCTCATCATCATCACAATGGCTAGGAGATGTTGACTACCTCGCCTGGTATACAAGAGGTCGTGAGTTCGATCTCGACCCTGACGCTTGCCCGCTGCTGCTGTATATTCGGAGTTTGCGGTTACTCTCATCATCGTTATCATCACGGTGGCTAGGAGATGTTGACTACCTCGCCTGGTATACAGGAGGTCGTGGGTTCCACCACCACCATCATCATCACGGTGGTTAGGAGATGTTGACTACCTCGCCTGGTATACAGGAGGTCGTGGGTTCCACCACCACCACCATCATCATCACGGTGGCTAGGAGATGTTGACTACCTCGCCTGGTATACAGGAGGTCGTGGGTTCCACCACCACCATCATCATCACGGTGGTTAGGAGATGTTGACTACCTCGCCTGGTATACAGGAGGTCGTGGGTTCCACCACCACCACCATCATCATCACGGTGGCTAGGAGATGTTGACTACCTCGCCTGGTATACAGGAGGTCGTGGGTTCCACCACCACCCTCATCATCACGGTGGCTAGGAGATGTTGACTACCTCGCTTGGTATACAGGAGGTCGTGGGTTCCACCACCACCATTATCATCACGGTGGCTAGGAGATGTTGACTACCTCGCCTGGTATACAGGAGGTCGTGGGTTCCACCACCACCATCATCATCATCACGGTGGCTAGGAGATGTTGACTTCCTCGCCTGGTATACAGGAGGTCGTGGGTTGCACCACCACCACCATTATCATCACGGTGGCTAGGAGATGTTGACTACCTCGCCTGGTGTACAGGAGGTCGTGGGTTCGATCCCGACCCTGTTGATGCCTGCTGCTGCTGCTGGATATTCGGAGTTTGCTGTGACTCTCATCATCATCATCACGGTGGCTAGGAGATGTTGACTACCTTGCCTGGTATACAGGCTATATATATTCGGAGTTTGCTGCGTCTGTCTCGTGGGTTTTTCTCCCCAGTGCTTCACTCCACCTTCACAATGAACGCGACGCATTTAGAGCATTTGGCTACTGCTGTGAACTTCCACACGACAATGATGACGATGATGATGACGATGATGATGACGATGATGATGACGATGATGATGATGATGACGACGATGATGATGGCGATGATGATGATGATGATGTTGATGATGATGACGATGATGATAATGATGATGATGTTGATGATGATGATGACGACGATGATGACGATGATGATAATGATGATGATGACGATGATGATGACGTTGATGATGATGATGACGATGATGATGATGATGTCGATGATGATGATGACGACGATGATGATGACGATGATGATGACGACGATGATGATGACGATGATGATGATGATGACGACGATGATGACGATGATGATGATGATGACGATGATGATAATGATAATGACGATGACGATGATGATGACGATGATGATGATGATGCGTCGCAAGTGGGTGGGAGGAGGTGGTGATGGGTGGGACACGTGGTGTGCAGGATGGAGGAGGTGATGGTGATGGGTGGGACACGTGGTGGTGTGCAAGGTGGAGGTAGTGATGGGTGGGACGTGTGGTGTGCAGGGTGGAGGAGGTGGTGGTGATGGGTGGGACACGTGGTGGTGTGCAGGGTGGAGGTAGTGATGGGTGGGACGTGTGGTGGTGTGCAGGGTGGAGGTAGTGATGGGTGGGACACGTGGTGGTGAGCAGGGTGGAGGAGGTGGTGATGGGTGGGACGTGTGGTGTGCAGGGTGGAGGTAGTGATGGGTGGGACGTGTGGTGGTGTGCAGGATGGAGGTGTGTGAGCACGGGGGAAGAGAAGACCCAAAGCCACACTCAGGTGATGGTGATGGTGAGGATGGTGACGATCATGATGGTGATGGTGACGACGATGAGGGTGATGGTGATGATGATGATGATGACGATGATGGTGATGATGGTGACGATGTTGACGATGATGACGATGTTGATTACGATGACAACGATGACGACGACGATGATGATGGTGATGATGATAATGATGGTGATGACAATGATGGTGATGATGGTGATGACCTCCTCACCTTAGCCCACGTGGGCGGGGGGGGGGGGAGAACGAACGGGATGGCTCGAACTAGGGGGGTGGGTTGGTTGGGGGGTAGAGCGTATGAATGAGAGCGTGAATCACATTAGCATCGGCAAATTGCCTAACATTTTACATTTGTGTGCAGTGTCAATGGTTCAGAGACACAGTTTGTAGGAGGCCACTTCTTTATTTAACACAAATTTCGACTAAAAGCTTTCGTGACTGCAGGAATTAATATTATTTTCGTTCTTTCGGTAAAGTCACGTGGGTAGAATAATAATGAATAATACAAATAAAAACCACCACGTTTTCGATCCTGATGACGGCCCCTTGCACAGCGATCGAAACGTCGTGCTTTTTTATTTGTATTATCATTTTTTTTCTATCTACAGTGAGGGGGGAAAAAAAGTATTTGATCACCTGCTGATTTTGTACGTTTGCCCACTGACAAAGAAATTATCAGTCTATAATTTTAATGGTAGGTTTATTTGAACGGTGAGAGACAGAATAACAACAAGATAATCCAGAAAAACGCATGTCAAAAATGTTATGAATTGATTTGCATTTTAATGAGGGAAATAAGTATTTGACCCCTCTGCAAAACATGACTTAGTACTTGGTGGCAAAACCCTTGTTGGCAATCACAGAGGTCAGACGTTTCTTGTAGTTGGCCACCAGGTTTGCACACATCTCAGGAGGGATTTTGTGACTTTACCGAGCGAAACCAAAGAATATTTTGATTTAAAGCTGTCGTGAGCGAAGGGATTCATGTTCTTCATTTTTTTCGGTAAAGTCACGTAGAATGGAAACAATAAAAAAAACAATAAAACAATAAAATTTAATTGTTTGATATTTTTTTTTATTTAATTGTTTTATATTTTTACTATTTTATTGTTTCCCTTCCACGCGACTTTACCGGAAAAAAAAACCAAGAACACAAAGAATATTTAGCACAACTTCCACGGCCTCGTCCGCACGCCCTCCACAGTGGCTCAGCCTAGGCCAGACGTGGGCAAAGTACGACCCCCGGGCCGTATACGGCCCATTGGGATTTTTAATCCGGCCCACCGAACTTATCCAAATATTATTATTAAATTAAATTTTACCTTTCTCCTGTAATGCCCCCCATTTCCCCATTAGATGGCGCACTTTGACCGGGAGTTTCGACATTTATTGTATTTTGATTTAAAGCTTTCGTGACTGCAGTAATTCATATTCTTAGTTTTTTTCGGTAAAGTCACGTTGAAGAGAAACAACAAAATAATAAAATATATATATAAAACAATAAAAAAAATTCTCACGACGTTTCGACCATAACTCAAACGGTCATGAGATGACCGGTCATGAAGATGACCGTTTGAGTTATGGTCGAAACGTCGTGAGAATTTTTTAATTGTTTTATATATATATTTTATTATTTCTTGTTTCTCTTCAACGTGACTTTACCGAAAAATATAAGAATATTTATTGTATTGTTCGTGTTGGGTGAAATTTGTTAAATTGCCTCGCAAATAAATGCTTTGCTACCTGTTGAAGGCCAACTCCTTTCGTGTAATGATGTTTTTTTTTAACACGTCACTTACATTAAGTTCACACAAACGCTCCGTCAATCTGTTCCTGGCCCGGAGCCTCCGTCAAATTTTAGAACCCACTGCGGCCCGCGAGTCAAAACAATTTGCCCATCCCCTGGCCTAGGCCCGTCTCACACTGACCGCGCTGACCGATAGAGCCGACTGCTCTCCTTCGTAGCTTCGTGGCGCAACATCCAGCGGAAGGCGTTTAGCGACAACGGCGTCGAAACGACAGCGACGGCGGGACGAGTCGACTCCCCGAACCGGCAGCCCCGAGCCCCCCCCCCCGCTCCCCCGGCTCCTTTTATTCTCACGGCGCGGCCCCTGGGCCCGGACATGGCCGCGACTCCGTTCTCGAAGCCGCCAGCAGCCGGTTCCAGGGGCCGCCAGACGGGATCCTCCGTGACCCACGCCTTAGTTCCTCCGCGCTCTGCCAACACGCCTCGCCGGGGTGTGTGGGCTCTGCCCACCGCAGTTGCCGCTGCTGTCCACCAACTAGCGCTATTACACTACACAAACCTACTGCTGATAATGATGATGATGATACTGCTCTTGATCTTGCTAATACTGTAGCCGCCCCTGTCCACCAGCTAGCGCCATTACAGTACACAGACCTACTGCTGATAATGATGATGATGATACTGGTCTTGATCTTGCTGCTATTGCTGCTAATAACATAGCTGCTCCTGTCCACCAGCTAGCGCTATTACACTACACAGACCTACTGCTGCTAGTGATGATGATGATACTGCTCTTGATCCTGCTATTGCTGCTAATAACATAGCCGCTCCTGTCCACCAGCTAGCGCTATTACACTACACAGACCTACTGCTGCTGATGATGATGATACTGCTCTTGATCTTGCTGCTATTGCTGCTAATACTGTAGCCGCTCCTGTCCACCAGCTAGCGCTATTACACTACACAGACCTACTGCTGCTAATGATGATGATACTGCTCTTGATCTTGCTGCTATTGCTGCTAATAACATAGCCGCTCCTGTCCACCAGCTAGCGCTATTACACTACACAGACCTACTGCTGCTGATGATGATGATACTGCTCTTGATCCTGCTATTGTTGCTGCTAATAACATAGCCGCTCCTGTCCACCAGCTAGCGCTATTACAGTACACAGACCTACTGCTGCTAGTGATGATGATTCTGCTCTTGATCCTGCTACTGTTGCTGCTATACCAAAGCTGCTGTATTCCACCAGGTAGCGCCATTACACTACACGTGTATAATGCATTTACTAACAAAGGTTTTATTTTTTTGGATCATATAAGTATAAATGTGCACATTGCGGATTTACTCTCCAACACAGCGGTGGGCTGAGATGGTGACTAACTGTCGCGTTGTTAACGTGACAAACCCCTTGCTGGCTGTGTCGGGTGATGGAGGGTTACGACACATTCATACTTACGCACGCTAACCCAACAAACCTTGATTATGAATAATATTGGTCGCGAAAGCCCCCTACCTGTAGTGTATATAGTGAAGTGTATACTAGTGCAGTGTATAGTAGTGTATAGTGTAGTGTATATAGTGAAGTGTATACTAGTGTAATGTATAGTCGTGTAGTGTATAGTGTAGTGTATAGTGTAGTGTATAGTGAAGTGTATACTAGTGTAATGTATAGTCGTGTATAGTGTAGTGTATAGTAGAATAGTGTATAGTTTAGTGAATATAGTGAAGTGTATGGTAGTGTAGTGTATAGTAGTGTATAGTGTAGTGTATAGTAGAATAGTGTATAGTGTAGTGTATATAGTGTAGTGTATGGTAGTGTAGTGTATAGTAGTGTATAGTGTAGTATATACAGTGTAGTGTATGGTAGTGTAGTGTATAGTAGTGTATAGTGTAGTGTATATAGTGAATTATATAGTAGTGTATAGTGTAGTGTATAGTAGTGTAGTATATAGTAGTGTAGTGTATAGTGTAGTGTATAGTATTGTAGTGTATAGTAGTGTAGTGTATAGTGTAGTGAATATAGTGAAGTGTATTGTAGTGTAAGCTTTAATACATTTAATAAAAAATAAAAAGTGCTGTGTCGATCTTTTGTTGAAATCGTTGGGTCATTTGGGTGCTCATTCCAAAGAGGCATTACTCTGCAGATGCAAATGTTGAGGATTAGTGGAGGTTTGTGTTAGGGATTTGTGCAGGTTTGTGTTGTTTTATATAGGAGATTAGTGGAGGTTTGTGTTGTTTTATATAGGGGATTAGGGCAGGCTTGTGTTGTCTTATAGAGGAGATTAGGGGACGTTTGTGTTAGGGATTACGGGAGGTTTTTATTGTTCATAGTGGGGCTTAGGGCAGGTTTGCAATGTTTTATATAGGGGTTTATGGGTGGTTTAAGTTGTTTATATAGGGGTTTAGGGGAGGGTTTTTTTTGTTTTATATAGGGGATTAGGGGAGGTTTATGTTGTTTTATATAGGGGAGGTTTATGTTGTTTTATATAGGGGATTAGAGGATGTTTGTGTTGTTTAATATAGGGGATTAGAGGAGGTTTGTGATGTTTTATATAGGGGATTAGGGGAGGTTTGTGATGTTTTATATAGGGGATTAGGGGAGGTTTGTGTTGTTTTATATAAGGGATTAGGGAAGGTTTTTGTTGTTTTATATAGGGGATTAGTGGATGTTTGTGATGTTTTATATAGGGGATTGGGGGATGTTTGTTACGTTTTATATAGGGGATTAGGGGATGTTTGTGATGTTTTATATAGGGGATTAGGGGATGTTTGTGATGTTTATTATATGGGATTAGGGAAGGTTTGTGTTGTTTTATATAGGGGATTAGTGGA